AACTAGACTTCCAAAACTTGGAAATTTTGATAATTTTAGGCTTTTTAAATTTAAGATTTTCACGATCTAATAATTTGATCCAAAATTTTACAGACTTCCGCAAAAAAAATTTCGGATACTTAAGATTAGAAATATGGTTAACTTGGTCATTTCAAAATAAATAACATAAAACTTTTGGTTAATTAGTAAATAATAGTGAAATTTGGAAATATGTATGTAAGTTTCTCCAAAAAAAACCTTAAATATAATTTAACCTTCAGGGGTCAAGCCACTTACTATATTGTGCTCAAGAACCCAACAACTAAAATTGTAAAGTCATTGTAGTTCAAGGGTTGAATTAGGGCTAATCTTGGTAGTGATTAAAAAAAAAGAAACGTTTTCCATCCATGTACCCTTTTTTTTTCACTTTTCTTAATTCCTAATCTATGATCCCTTCGGATATTCACAAAATCATTTTATGACTTTGAATCTTGAAGATTAAAAGTCCTTAATACCCCTTTTTGGCCTGGCTTTTTTTTTTTTTTTTCCTCGCCATTTTGCCACTACTTCAGATTTTCAATATTCGAACTAACCTAGGATATCAGATCATGAATATCCAAATTTATATGTATGAGGCATGACTTCGGATCTTCAAGTTCGTAAGTTATAAGTAATTTTTTATCTTCAAGATCCGAAATCATGTGGTTTTAAATATGTGGCAAAAGGGGACAACTTCAGGTCTTTAGCATCTAAAGTTATAAAATAGTTTAATCACTTCCGATATGAAGTAGTGGCAATTTTGGAAATGAAATAAAAAGGAGAAAAGCAATCAGCACATAAGAAAATTAAAATCAAATCATCACATGGATCCTTTTTTTATAAATTTAAAAACGATCTAGAAAACTTCCAATTTTATGACGAGGTCCTATTTTCATCAGCTTTCTTTTATTACCAAAACTATCCCATGTTCTACGTTCGACCTTGAAGTGTCAAAATTGGGCAAGATTGCACACATAATTTACGGTACGAAAAGAGCTTAGAAATTAAATCTGACATTCTTTCAATCTTGGAGCAAGTAAAATTCAGCAACTATAGAAAAAAACAGCATGGCTGTAAATATAATCCCAAAATAAAAAAAAAACTCATTTTTTGAAAAAATAAACTCTCTACAAAAAAATATCCCAGTCTATCACATATAAGGCTCTCCCTCTTAAACACAAATTAAAAAAGGAAAAAGTTTATATAGAGTTGAGGCTCTAAACAATCAAATTAGAGCCAACCTAAAAAATTTGACTAGAAGAGGTTGATTTGATGTCCAAATATCCTCAAATTGATCATCTCGACATCAAGATGCATGAACATGAGAAAAAAATTGATTTCAAGTTTTGAAAATAGTGCATCTTGTAACACAGTTTTTGACCTTCAATTTTCAAGATTTTCAAGTTTTCATATATATGCTCAATTTACACTATTTTTTGAGCTTTAATTTTTGTAACTAAAGATAAAAATATATTTAAAAGCTATCATAAAGATTTCTAGTATTGAAACCACATTTCTCGACGCTTTGAATCTTGGCTCTATACAAACCACACCACTAAAAAAACCTTAAAAAAAAAAAAAAACCTAAAAACCTACTCTCTCTCTCTAACGTGATTGTCCCCTCTTGGTTTTCCTAAAATTTATCCCCAATCATAATCCTACTCTATCTCTTTCTCCTAGATCCTCCTTTCTAGGATTTTTCTCAATGCACACACACACACACACATATATATATTGGGTAATTTAATACATTTATATATATATTTTTTGGGGTAATTCAATGAGGAAGACATGCCCCTACATGCTTTTTCAATAGATTGAGGAGTTACATTTTGAAAGTGTTAATTGGAGTGTCCACGGTAGGAATGGATACCACATTCACAAGTTCTATGTCCTATGCTTGAGGAGTTAACATTTGTGGTCTCTTAACATCATGGTAAACACAACCAATTCTTAAGAGCCTTCGAAAGGTCAGCAAGGTTTGAGTGCCATGCAAATTTTTGAATTTTCAAAGATTTGTTTTACATGCAAACTGAATTGGGAAAACCCGTTCAAGGCATTTTTTATGGGTTTGCATTTTAGTTTGATTCTATAGTAGGAGTTAGAACTATTTGGGGTTTCTATAAAGACCCATTTGTAAAAGGAAAAAGTTTATATAAGGTTGCAATTTTTAAATGTAGAATTACATATGCACCTAAAAATTTTATCAAAAAAGGTTGTTTTAATGTTGAAAAACTCTCTCATTGATCACCTCGACATCAAGATGTACAAATATGAAAAAAAAAAAATTTTGAGCCTCAGAAATAATGCATCTTGCAACACATTTTCAAGATTTCATATGTTTATAGATCTACTTGATTTTAACTATTTTTAGAGTTTAAGATTCTATAATTAAATATGAAAATAGATTTTTAGATAATCTTAAGAATTTTTAACACCAAACTTACATGTAATGATAAAATTTGAAGGTGCGCCTTTATTTGGATTGTTTGAAGTTGCAACCTTATAGAAACCAAACCTTTTGTAAAATGTTTGACTTACAATTGCTGCAATATAATGTAGAAATAGAAAAAATAAATATTCTATAATTAGGATATGTAACTTGTACTGTCAAAATAAAACTTTATTCAATTATTGAATTCAAAACTTCAAATATTTATAATGCAACTAGGATTGTGTAAATAAATATAAATCAAGAACTTCTAATCTAAAAATGAATAAATTGTGTTGGGAAGACTTACTAAACTTTGCCTAACGTCACGCTCTTAAAACTTAATAATATCTTCCATCCAATTACCACACCCATGACACACTTCTACATGTTTGTTTCCCATAAGGTGATTGTCGTGGGTATATTCCGTGCAAAAACTTTTTGAGAATTATTTACCTTACTCTCATAAGCCTATAACCGTAAACAGAATACCATAAAGCTCTCTTGGATGGATTACAAACCATTATCTTTGACCTTAACAATGGATGACCTTCCTAAAACCTTCAATGATAGTGCATATGCCTAACGGAAAAAAAGGTTTTGGACATATGTCCCTGATCATGGACTGCTGACCTTGGGTTAGTCAATCCATATACACTCCCATTGAAGTCCACAATTCACTATATTTGTTATGTTTATATGCTCTCATAGTCTTAAACACCACATGACCTTAACATCCCTTGAAAGGTCCTACAATCACTCCATCTCATTGTCTCTCAAGCTCATCCCATGTACATAGTTGACAAATATATTTGCCATTAATTCTTGAGTATTTGTTATTAATTATTTAGTTGAGGATTTGCTAACACAACCTCTGTCAAGAGATAAGTTACCTCAATCTCTCCTGCTCAAATCTCATTGTGAATATGATAATAATCAACCTTTCTATGCTTAGATTTCTTATGAAACCTAGCTTCTTAGTCATGCAAATCACTGCCTCATTATTATAAAAGATACCTTACTGGATCAAATTTGAGCTAATTAAGGACTTCTTTAAGTAGATGGCATCTTTTGTTGTAAAACAACAAGCTACATACTCTGACTCTATACTCGAGATGAGATTTTGTCATGGACTTCGAGTGGACTTGAACGTGTCCCATAGCACTGCATATAAAGCTTTAGTATAATGCAATGGGTAATGACTCATTAGTTTGCATGGAGGTTGAACATTCATACTTTTTTCTCTCATGGAATCAACGTCACCCGCCAAGCCAAAATGAAAAATCTAAGAAGGCAGAGAAATTAATCAGAAGAATAAGATTAATCAGAAAAAAGACGAATCATTTAATAATGAAGTTGGATTTTCATGCGTCAAGAAAAAGATGGGTGGTTTAGCATGGATAATATGAAAGAACAGAAAAAGCGTCAAAAGAAATATGAGAGAGAGGGAGAGATGGATATTAGTGAAAGTACAGAAACGAGAGCCAAAAAATATGAGAGAGAAAGAACCACATTGGGGGACTTTAAATTCCATTCCACGAACTTGCCTGTTGAAAATGGACTCAAATGCGATTCTAACAGCACCCATACCAAAAATTTCTATAGGAAAGGGAGCCAAATAGATCTTATCAAAAAAACTTCTGCACAGAAAATCGGGCAAAAAAAAGAAAGAAAAAAAGATGATAAAACAAACTATAGTCCGAGTTAGTAAAATGTTTCTTCTATTACATAATTAACTGTTCAAATAGGCAATTTCTAGAAAATTTCTTAGTGAGGAATTACATAACGAACGGTTTAAATAGGCAGTTTCCAATATATCAACATAGGGAAACTGATTGCACCAATTTTCCAAATAACATAGGGAAACCAAATGCACCAATTTTCTAGACATTTCCAAAATCACAGGGTTTCTTCAGAAATTTACGGGGAAACTAAAAAAGTTTCAAGATGACACCCCCCTAAAACCTTGATATTTTCCCCTGAAAAACTAATAATCAATGATTACCTCCACCAAACTAAGTTCTTAATGTATGAGAATGCCATTCTAATAAGTACTTCTCTCATTGGCAAGAGAACACAGTAGGGCTTGTATACCATGCTTGTATACCCATCTGTTTGATTTCTGTCAAAAAATTTTATGAACTCTATGAAGATGAATGCCAGGCAAGCATCGCCCATCTGTTCAATTTCTGTCAAATTTTTTGATAAACTCCAAGATGAATGCCACACCCACGACATTCGATAGTTGAGGAAGAGTTTCGAAATGACTGTAGAATTTTTAGCAGGCATTCCACAGGAGGTTAAAGAAAACAGGATTCCAAATGGAGAATATCTTTAGGCTTCGAGTAGTGGTAGACATCCCATTTTAAGCAAGGGAGGTCAATGGCTCCAATCTTGTAGTTGGAATCAGAACACCTAAAACTTCTGGCTTGCCCTTCTAACTTTTGGGTTTAAGCCTAGTTGATTGAAGTGATATCCAAAGCTTAAACACTACTGCTAGCGATAAAAAATAAAGTAAAAACCAAAAAACAAAAATAAAATGAAGAAGAAATAAAATAAATAATGCATGCTTGCCCCATTTCCCTGATCCCATAATCAGCAATTGTCAAATTCATAGGCTCAAAGACATGCATTTCAACTTATATCAGCAATAAATTATCTCTTCCACTTGCTGAAATTTTTTTTGAAGGTGAGTGCAAACACCAAACTCACAACTGGATATGCTCTCAAGCACGCTTGCAAGTATCAATTGATGTTACTGACTGCTCGATAGCTAAGAAACGCATCCCTCAGAGTAGAAGGCTTTCCGTGTAGGAGAAAAAAAGAATGAGAAAAATCCAAGGCTCATCTTCTTTTAATTTTGTCCGAAAACTGTGAAGCACGAACCAGGCTAACTTGGAGAAAGCCTGGAACATTATTGGGTTCAATACGTATAGCTTGACAAAAAGCTTGAATAAGCAATGACATCCATCCAAGCAGGAAAATGGCCCTTTAATTTCCTGGTTTTCTCAACTAAATATTGGTCCAATACACCGAGATCCACCCTCAATGCTTCCGAACTGTTGGCCTGGAAACCATAAAAATATGACAAATTAGGTATAAGTAATATGAACTCTAAATACACCAAGAACAAAGTTTATGACGACAATAAATAAATTCCATAAACATATAAAACAATAATTCCATTAAAAAAGGAGTGTGATTCTATTGGCCATAAATATTGAATAATTAACGTTCAGGGGAACATGGATTATAATGACAGAAGGATATACAATATTAAATTTCAGGAGCATAGGTTATAATGATAAAGAGTATAAATTTCAGAGACTGTGATGATTAAATTTGTAAAATAACACTATTCATTTTTGTATGGAAGAAGTTTAACCTCCAACCAGAAGCTCCAGTTTTCACTGCTGCTCCCACTCAGTCTACAGATATAAGATAGTGGCCCCGCTTTAAACTTCTCAGGAGCTGCAAACAAAATCACCAGGTAAAATAGCCATTCAATCATGGCAAAGAAAATCAAAGAGCTGGTCAGAATTGAGTTGCTCTAAATTAACGTAACTTACCAGGAAGTTTGTTATCAGCAAATGACCAATTGGATAGTGGGCCAGTGATATTAAGGACAGCTCCCCAAACCTCCTTTAAAGACCTGGGGAGAAAATAGACCTATAAGATCGGGACAGCAAAAGCATTGAATAGGGATTATAAAATAATATTTGTAAGTTCAGTTAATTTTGCATTGGTGGAGTAGCCATAATGTCGGGGTTGCACATGTCAGCTTGAAATAGCCCGATTAGTGCAGAATGTGACCAGAATTTAGCATAAGTTTCACCAGGAACTGAATAGAATTCAAGTGTTTAAACATTGGAAATATATACTTTTTTGAAAAGGCTAATTTTCAGGCTACTCTTAATATATATTCTTGTCCATTTTTTGGTTGAAATTAGCCAAAATTCAGCTGCTTTCTTTTTGTTAATTCTTTTAAAATTAGGTTGAGGTTTGGCCAGATATCCCAAACTGCAAGTTTGACACATGCTACAGCCTTGTAATATCCAATTTTTAGATTTTATCTTACAACGTGCAACAAAAAACAACATAAATGGCTAAAACATTTAAACAATTAAGTTTCTCACCCCAAATTTAGTTCGAGGTAGACACGGCGAGGTCCATTACTAGTCACAATCGGCTTATTCATGGATAGCTTAGGAAGTTGCTTGTAGTGGTTGATTATATCTTGTTCTCTAGCAGGAAACTTCAGACTTCCAGAGAACAAATAAGATACGGGAAGAAGTACCTGGAAAGAAAGAAACAAAAAGTGCAGCAGAATCAAATTGAAGATCTAAGTATTGCGCAGCACTTGGAAAGAAAGAAACAAAAAGTGCAACAGAATCAAATTCAAGATCTAAGTATTGCTTGGCACGGCCTGTACTAAACTTTACGACAGCATTGTTTAGCAAAACAAGTAAAAATACTATAAAAATCTGCATGAATCTTACATTGAAATCACATACTTTATATTAGTGCTCAAATACTCACCTGAGTTGACTCGGACCCAGGAGACTTGCTCGGCCTCCGCAGGAACAGGGTACCTAGTAGTACTCAGGAGAGTCCACATAATACTTGCCCGACTACTCTTCACATAACAGAATAAAACAGACTGGCCATCCGTTGCCCCTTTCATTTTTTTTTTGTTTTTTGTTACTCAGCCCTACAGTACCTCATTTTGGCCCCAATTCGACCCAAAGCTAGAGTTTTACTTGATCCATGCATTCAAAGCATTAGATTGGACAGATAAAATCAAATTTTGCAGATTTTTGAAATCTACAGTTTCTGGCAACGGTTTACACGAATTCAAAAAGTGTCATTTTTTTGCAAATTTGAGTTGCTCTTGGATGAGCTTCAAATCGAAAGCGTATTTTAAGGTTCTTGATCCAACTCTAAGCTTCTTTTCTCAAAAGAAACACATAAATCTTAGATTTCTGATAGGTATATGGTTCAGAATTACTATTCATCCGAATTTTCAAGAGCCGGAATCTCCCATATCCGAACACAAAAACTGCAGGTGTTAATTCACAGCGCGCGTGAAGATCTGGGGATCAGCCTCAAAAATTTGGATTTTTAGGCAAATTTTCATTTTTTATTTTAAATTCATATAATTGATTTATTTTTTAGTTGTATCACTCAGTCTAGTAATATTTATGCTATTGTTGCATTTAGGTCGCATTTTATCAGAAAAAAAAGAGGGGCATTCAAGTTTTCTTCAATTTTATTGTATCCATCTTTTACATTGTTTTAACATCATTTTTCAATTTTACATCATTTTTCATCTTTTAAATATTTTTATGTTGTTATGATTTCTTCATTTCTATTATTTTTTTAGAAAATTTTCAACAATCTTTTAGTGTTTTTTGGAAAATTTTGGGCCTTTTCTTGCCCTCGCCTTGGCTCAGGCATGACTTCATCGAGGCTGACCTGAATCACTTGAGTAACTCAGCTCGGGCAGGGGCCAAGTCTGCTACCCGAGTTTGAGAACACTACTTTATACCATAATAGCAAATCCACACAACGTCTGTTGAAATGGGAAGAGCTTCCGACCAATGTTATACCTGATTGAAGAAAATTGGCTGAAATTTGGTCCAAATTTTGGCCATTACATTCACTTACATACCATCAACTGGTCGCTAAATATTAGAAGTATTTAGTGGCCATAGACATATGGTTACTGAAGTCCTCCTAACACAGATAGGCTCAAACGGAAGCACCAAGAAAAGCAGCAGCAAAACCATGAGGTCTCCAATAGGCCTCTTTTAGTTTTATCCATCCTATCCTAGCAAGTATAAACGGTGTTTAACCATGGTTCACTTTTCTCTTCCACAATTGCGACCACACACTGTTGAATCACTGAGTTTCAATTACAAGACATATTGATGGTAAACTACAATAGAAAGTCAAATTGATGCCAAGTACAACATCCAAGGGCATCTCTAATAATCACTCTGGGTGCAGGCATTGATGCAACTCTGTCTGGACCTGGTCAAAACTCAAAAACTAGCCCATATAAGAAAAACTCCTGAATCCAAGAAAACTACCAAAAATCTATACAACTAAAATAAATCTTTGAGGCTGAAGAGAGAGTTTGTCAATCAGTTTGAGAAGACTATTTAGAACTTGAGAGATGATATGTGAATGACGCAGGTAAGGTCTCCTATTTTATCATATTTTTTAGAAGATTGAAATTAGTTTGGGTTTATTTGGTTTTTCTGTTTTTCTTTTAGGTGCTTATGCATTTTTTGTTGAAGGGACTCCAAGGGTAGAATTGCAACATTAATTTCAAGATGATGAAAGCCAAGGATATAACAGTGATTCAGGTGTCTCATTTGGCAAGTTAAGGTTTCAAGATTTCTATGATAAGAGAAGAATTATATTTGTGATCATGTGAAAACATCTTTTTAGGGTGGTATTGCACCCATTTTTTTTTTGTCATAATCAGAACTTCAAAAGATCCATCTGGCAAAATGGCACCAGAACTTGCTCTTGTGAACAAGAATACACTGCCAAAGATAATGAAGGTTGCAAATCAACAAATCAAAGAGAGCAATAATTCAAGCCGTGGAAGATTTTCGGTACCGGATCCGCGTACTTCCAGGGGTGATCATGAAATACATCAGTGTTTGCAATATTTAGACAATACCTATAAGCGTCTAGTAGATCCGGCACCAGATCTACATCGAGCTCCTTGACCAACTCCAGGAGTTGATCCTGTCAAAAATGACAAAATTTTGAGGCAAGAACCACAACTTGTGGGTGCCCAATAGTATCAAGGTCAATCTCCTCAATGGTAACCACCACATCAAGGGTGTTATTGGCTATTTGAGTTCGATAGAAAACTCTTGCAATAGAATGAATAGCAAAAGGAGCTTGAAAGAGAAACCAAGATTATACTCGATTTATGAGAGTTCTAATACAAGTATCACATTAAGCATTTTAGTAATTGGTTCATTAAAGAGGAAAAGGCACCAAGACGAATGGTGATATTCCATTACTATTGATAAAGCCATTGAAGGATGTGTTGAATCTACAAGCTTGAGGTTAAGCTTCTTCCAACCTTGAAAGAATAACACAACCAGGATTTTATATTTTCTATATTTGTTTTTTAGGAGACTGAAATTGAGTTTGGCGTTATTTAGATTTTTAGAATTTTCTAAAGGGTATTATGCATTTTTTGTTGTAGAGTATTGATGGGTAGAATTGGAAATTTAATATTAAGAAGAAGAGAGCTATATTTTAATAGTGATTAAGATTTCTTTTGGGGCAAGTTAAGGTTTTAATGTTTTCTGTATAAATATGTAAGTTACACAAGGAAAACAAATATAAAAAAAACAATTAACTTTTGCAGTCTTGTGAAAAGATCATTTTGGGGTGGAATCCCTTACCGTCTCAAAGCGGGTATATTATCTCACATTTTTTATTTCTTCTGGCGTGTTTTTGTATCCTCCACTTTCATATTTCAAACTATCAACCCGGAAACCATAAAGTGGATCTTTCAGAGATGACGTGTTAGGTTCAATTAAAGAGAGATATTGGCTATAGGATTTGCATGGAGTAAGGGTATGCCTGCAATGTAAAATCTGTCGATATGAAAGGTGCTACATGTCATATTCCACCTCCATGAATTGAAGGTCCACTTTTTGGTCCAAAATGGGAAGTTTTTATGAGTCCAAAAGTTTTTTAAATAGACAAACTATGTCATCTATCAAACTATGCAATTGGACTCTGCCTACATACAAGAACAATACTTCTGCTTTAAGCATTTATTTATGAAGGAAAAAAAATCACCAAGCTAACATGTACGTTCTTGCTCTCTAAAATATAAACTAATAAATTACGTAAGCGGATTTCTAATACAATAGACATAGCCCATCGTAGGGTCAAAAGTGCAGATACCGAAATTAAAGGGAAAATGAGTGTTATGATTCTACAGCATATTCAATATTTGCAAAACAGTGAAGCAACGTACCATCCAGTTACTTTGTTCAGAATGAGCTGTATTATCCAAAGAGAAATCTGAATGGATCTGTAACTCTTTTGCAGCCTCAGGTGCATTCTTGAAAACAAAATACAAAGAATTGGCATCTACTACAGAGAATTCATAGCTGGAATCCAATATCTGACTTGCATCTGCCATTTCCCACAAGAAAACCATCTTAAAATGGCCTTAACAAAGATAAGAGGTAGTTTGAAAGTCAGAGCCATCAAGAAAGCCCCAAAAAAGTAACATACATGAACTAAAGCATAGCATAACTCAAATGTAGCCCAACAAAGTTGAACTCTTCTTTACGACTAGGTCCATATTGCAAGAAAAGCAAATGATAATGAGCATTCAGTGAAACAATGATCATAGTTCCCACTAAAGTAATAGCTACTCAAGAAGTAATTGCACTTTCTCACATGAGTGAAACTACCACTAAGTTATTCACTAGTTTTAAAACAATGGAAGATTAAAATATGGCTTTTGTAGTTCCGTGGATTAAGTTATCATATCATGGAGTAGATCAACCTGTTAAAGTGCGAAAGTAAAACAAGCTTTCGATAATGGATTATTTTCCTAGTTTTCATATTTGTATATAGAATATTTATGTATTTCTTTTTGGGGAATTGTCACGAAGAGTAGGAACTTTATCCTTACAGGCCTATTGTGAACTGTTGGATTGCCATATATCTAGGTTTTTACCAGAATTCCCTGTTCTCCAGGTTATTAGTAAAACTAGAATTAGGCTCTCTCTCTCTCTCTCTCTCTCTCTCTCTCTCATTATGTCAAAATAAAAAAGCCTACTCTCTCCACCAAAATGTTCTCCACTGGCTGTGTGTGTGTGTGTGTGTGCGTGAACGTTCTTTGCCTTCTCTTTTCTGAAAACCTCTCTTTGGGTTGTGTGTGTGTGTCTAAGAAGTGTGGGACCCATGGGGATGCAGCACCAGACCTGTAGGGGACTGTGCACACATGTTTCCATGTGTGTATGAAGAGAGAGATCATGAAAACCTTTTTGTCACAATTATATAAGAAAAGAGGGAAATAGAGAGAAGGAGAAGGGGGTGGGGGGGTGCAAAAGGTTGATTACATGAGGGATAGAGGTTGGGAGAGTGAAAATAGGACTTAACTTGATTTTGGGAGAGTTTTGAAAGAAGAAGAATCACCATTTTAGAAACCCTAGAATATGAACTGGGAGAATGGGGAGGTCCTACAAATATTAAATCGAGGTGTAGGGGAAAACTACAGTTCATAATAAGCCTGTATAATAAGTGAGGTAGAGTCTGCTGTACCTTATAATTCCCTTGTTTTTGATAATGGATTGTTTTAGTACTTAACCCCATGAGAGAAACTATTTATTCTTTTATTGTGAGGGCCAGACCCAAGCATTCCATTCTTACATGTTCCAATCCATCACTCTAAAGTGGCTACTCACAGCAAATTCAAACAATTAGTAATTGTATAAACTCTAAACACAAGTCAACTCAAAGGAACCCAATTAAGATTCAAGGTCACCACACAGGGACCTGTGTGCCAAACATAATCATACACTTTTAGCTCTCATTGAAACCAAACAGCCGGACTCCTCTCTACAACTCATACGACAAATCTGGGGTCGCAGACCGTTCCAGTGGTTGTCCCGGCCTGCGCTAGGCTCCTCAGGGGGCATCTGGCTTATCAGGAATCTGGCAAAACATTCTTTCCACTCCTCCCTGAATGGAGAATTTTCTATCAAGGCCATCCTTTCCAAGACCTCTGACGGCATGCCTGGAAGTTCACAACGGTTTACGGCCCGAACTCCCCTGCCCTAAGACCCGCTTTCTAGGCAGAACTTGATCGCACGCCCTTGCTCTCACACCCTGTCAGGTGCTTGGGAGGGGACTTCAATATCACCAGATGGTCATTTGAAAGGAACACCAACCGAAATTTACCCCTGGCATGGTAGAATTTTTGGATTTCATCTCAAGAAACGAACTCCTCGATATCCCCCTCCAGAGGAATCTTTTCACCAGGTCCGACCACTCTTCTCAGCCCCCTCTCTCTAAACTTGACAGATTCCTGCTGTCTCTACCGTGGGACGATGCCCTCCTAGGATCCCTATATTCAGCTTTTCCTAAACCTACTTCGGACCAATGCCCTATTCTTTTGAACACTCAACCAATCCCGAGGGGGCCTAAACCCTTTAGGTTTGAACTATCTTGGATGGAAAACCCTTCCCTCTCCTTCCTCATCCCGCTCTGATGGGACTTTCTCTCCCCAAGTTTCAGGTAGGGCAGGTTTTATCCTACAAACCAAGATCCAACTCCTTAAGAAATCTCTTAAAGAGTGGAGTAAGAACATCCGTGGGAACTTCTCCCTAGTAAAAACTTCTCTTCTCAATTCTATTCAAGAGCTGCACAATCTGAAGGAATCCAGACCACTATCCTCCTATGAAAGCAATCTCAGATCCCAACTGAAGTTGGACTACCTCTCCACTCTCAAGAAAGAAGAAAGTTTCTGGTGCTAGAGATCCATAGTGAAATGGCTCAACTTGGGAGACCATAACTCAGGCTTCTTCCACCGGATAGCTAACTGCTAACGCCGAGTAAACTCTATCTCACTTCTTAAAGTGGGTAATTCCATTCTGGACCAACCTACCCAGGTGGAAGCAACTATCCTGGCTTACTACAAAAATCTCTACTCGGCTCCTGGTGATCCAAGACAGAGAATGGGTAATCTACATTTCCACCTGCTCCCTCAGGAGTGGTCATAGTGGTTGAACGCCCATTCTCAGAAGAGGAACTATTGAAAGCAATCATGGATCTCGGCAAACACAAAGCGCCAAGTCCGGATGGCTTTCCGTTGGATCCTTTCAAGACCTTCTGGGAGACCTTTAGGTCTGACTTCCTCAATTTCTTCGAAGAGTTCTACCATAGGGGCATCATTCATAAAGCAATGAATGCCACCTTCATCGCCTTAGTCCCCAGGATGGAAGGAGCTGACGAATTAAAGGACTTTAGACCGATCAGTTTGGTAAAGTCCTCCTATAAGATACTGTCAAAAGTGATGGCGACTCATCTAAAGAAGTGCTACTTTTTGTTATTTCTCTTTCACAAAGTGCCTTCATAAAGGAAAGACAAATCCTTGATGCGGTCCTGGTCGCTCACGAGTGCCTCCATTCTCGACACTTACAAAAAAACCAGGACTTATATTCAAAATTGACTGGGAAAAGGCCTATGACCATGTCGACTGGTCACTCTTAGACGAGACCATGGGTAGAATGGGTTTCGGGGATAGCTGGATGAGGGGTTGCTACTCAAATCCCCACTTCTCCATTCTCATCAACGGGACTCCTAAGGGATTCTTCCCCTCTTCTAGGGGTCTCCGACAAGGAGACCCCATTTCCCCCTTTCTCTTTGCTATAGCTGCCAAAGTCCTTAGCCATACACTATCTAGGTTGTACCAGGTGGGCTTATTGAATGGCTTCAAAAGCTGTGCTAGAGGCCCCTCGGTCTCCCATCTACAATACGTCAATGACACTCTAGTGTTCATTGACGCTAACCCTCAGGAAATCAAATGCCTTCATATGTTCCTCAGGTGCTTTGAGTTTGCCACAGGTTTCAAGGTCAATACGTCAAAGTCAACAATGATAGGGGTTGCCCTCACCTCAGAGGAGACCAGAGCCTTACTCCTAGGTTGGACATGCAAAGTGGAAGAGCTCCCAACTAACTACTTGGGGATTCCCCTGGGACTTGGGAAACCTAAAAAGGCACAATGGTCAACCGTCATTGATAGAGTGGACCGCCGGCTTGCTGGTTGGAAAGGAAGGTTCCTTTCCTTCGCGGGTCGCACTGCTCTAATCAAAGCCACACTCTCCAACACCCGCATTTATCTCATGTCCCTCTTCCATATGCCGGCAGCGATAGCTAATAGACTGGAACAACTGATGAGGAACTTCCTTTGGTTCCACCTCGTCGCCTGAGAAACGGTTTGCCGATCGAAGACTCAGGGCGGACTTGGGATCCGCTCCCTACGAAAGTAGAACATGGCTCTCTTGGGTAAATGGTGGTGGCGCTTGTCGAACTCCCCTAATCAGCTATGGTCACAAGTGCTCCGACATAAATATAGAATTCCCCCTGAAGCCTGGCTACCTGAGGGGAGGCCCCACAGTAGACCCTTGGGAGCTTGGAAATCGTTTCTTTCGGCTTTGTCTACCTTCAAACAATCCATCAGATTCCACCCGAAGTCTGACAGTAGGATCGGATTTGGGTCCGACTTTTGGTTGGGGCACTCGCCTCTCAGGGATCGGTTTTCTTCTTTGTACTCGCTCACCACTAAGCCGCTAGCCTGGATCTCGCAAGAGCTCCAGCTGACAGGTAATAGAAGAGTGTGGCACCCCTCTTTCAGGCGATCTCTTTCTGATGCCGAAATACTGGAGTTCATCTCCCTCCTGGCCTTGCTCAACGATTACTTTTTCCCACTTTCAGGGCCGGACAGGATCATATGGATGCCAAAGCCATCTGGCTCCTTCTCGGTGGCCTCTTTCTGCAGAAACTTACTACCTTCTCCCCCCTCTTTCCCCTCGGTAACATTCAAGGTATGGTCATCAATAGTGCCACCAAAAGTGCAAGCGTTTAACTAGATCGCTTGCGGAGGAAAAGCGCTAATGGTTGACCAACTCAAGCGAAGGGGCTTCTCTTTACCGAATTGATGCGCCCTTTGTTTTAAAGAAGAAGAGACCCACTCTCACCTGTTTATCCACTGCAATGTTGCTCTTTACCAATGGAGCGAACTCCTCAACCTTTTCGGCCGGACTTGGGTCAGACCGGCCTCCATCCCCGGACGTTTTAACTTAGCAGTCAGTCTTCCGTGGCCCAAAACAGGGAGGCTACTTTGGAAGGCAGCGACAAAGCCAGGATTTGGACTCTATGGAAAGAAAGGAACTCAGTGGTCCACTGCGATAATCCAACCCTGTTCCATAAAATCCATACATGTGACTTTCTGGGCCACCAATCATAAGGCCTTCAAGCTCCTTCCTTCTTCTATCTTCCTTTCTAACTGGCAACGATTACTTCTTCTTCAGAACACTCGACCCCCACGCCATGGGGACTGGTCCCCACCTCCGCCGGGTGCAATTAAGTTCAACTTCGATGGCTGCTTGCTCGGAAATCCTGGCCCCTCTGGGGGTAGGGGGGGGGGGGGGGGGTGTTTAGAGACTACCGAGGAAACACCTTGGCACAATTCTCAAGACACATAGGTCATGCCAATTCACAACTGGCAGAATCTCTCGCCTTGCTCACGGGCATCAAACTCTTTGATCCTACGTGGGGTCAACCACTTCTGGTCGATGCAATATAGTTTCTTGGGCAGCGAGTCATATATCCCCCCCTGGTACCTCTACGATTTTTGACAAGATTTCTCACATCTGCAAGGATATTCTCGTCTCATGGACGCATATGTAACGGGAATCAAATGCACTGGCGGACTGTTTAGCTAAGGAGGGAGCCAACCTGCAAGTCGCAGCTACTACCTAAGCCCAGAAGACTTTCCCAATCGCTTTTCTTCACATCATACTTTTTAATGTAATACCTGGCATGGCACTTTGATTCCAAAGCCTTTGTAAAATGACCCCAAACCGTAGATGTTAAGCCTGCAGTTAGATTTTTCTAGGATACTCTTTGTACTACACCTATTCACAGAGGTGTTACTAGTTCCCCTCTGAGAGGACAAACCCGTGTGTCCTCTCTTATCACTATTTGTACTTCCTTCTCTTTAATACAATGTTAACTTCATAAAAAAAAATATAAGTGTCTAGTCGAATTGAAAAGGAATGCATGCAATTAGATAAATTTACAGCATTCTTTATTCATAGTTACCCTATTTTCATCTAGAATTGTTGAAAGTATTAACTATATATGCACAAATTTAAGAAATATAGGTGTCTAGTTGAATTGAAAAAGACTGCATGCAATTAGATAAATTTACAGCATTCTTTATTCATAGTTACCCTATTTTCACTTTTCACCATTCCAGCTGTCCACATTGGAAAATTGGAACACTATAAGAACAATACAGGCTTTAAACAATACGCAATCAGAATGCATGCAAGCAAGTCAAGAATTTTATATTCTTCAATTTAGAAAAGAAAGAATGAATATAATTTCTTTTCTTTTTCAATAACCGATGAAATAATGACCACAACTGATATGAATTTGAAAGGAAAAATCTCATTAAAGAGATTTTCGTTCAAAAGAAAAACCAAATTCACAATATGTTGCTGCTTAACCATTAAATATCCAGGGTAACTAAAATGAAGACATAAGTCAAAGAGAACTTCGAGAATTTCTTTGCATAAAAAGTTGAATACAAGGTACATGCTTAATTATTTCCAGCTTACCTGATGTCTGAAAGGTATGCTGAAGCACAAGCCTTTTTGGAGCACTGGTACTATATGGGAAGAACTGAGACGATATAGCCATCATTGCTACACTAATATGGAGCATGAATTGCACAATGTTTGATCTTGCTAACCAATGCCCAACAATAGGGACTATAGGACCCACACACCAGCCAGTCACAATGCCAATCGCACTGGCTATAATTATATCTGGGATGAAAAAGCCTGTGATAAACAAAAATAACGTTTCAGACATATAAAAATAATGCACACAAAATAGCCATTTGTCCCCATATCTATAATCCAAAGCAACTAAGGAACCCTGCTGCAGTGTTCCTTCGGCAAGTTTATGTTGTTATTACCTAGATGACATGCCACTATTAAGTGCCAACTTTAGAAATTTGAGTGAAACACTACTTACTCATGTCTGACAAAAAATTCATTTAGGTAGCAGATTATGCACCCCATATAGGAGAGGCTGTACACCAAGATCCTAGCATGAGGGTTGCAAAGTAAGATCCGGATGCCCAGGCCTGATGAGTCCTGTGCTGGTGCACCCTAGACAGGCCTTCAAATTGAGAACTAAGCAATTAACATCAGTTTTGGTCAACTTGGCCTCAGTCAAAAGAATTTATTTTTATTTATTCTTTCCCCAAGAAATATAAGAGAACAGAACTGATTTATACAGTTGCAAATCTCATTCCCCATCTGTAATTCGAATTGAAACACATTTATATTTTTCTAGTTTATCAATTGGATGCTTTTCAGATTTTTTGAATCACATGAAAATGTCCTCAAATTCATCTATAAGGACTGATGTATTAATAATACTATTATATGCTCTCAGGACTCATGCATTTGATGAAGAGCGCTAACATTCTTGAAGATGAAGAGAAGTGAAAATGGAGAAGTGGGTGCTAGAGGTCTAGCTTGTGCTAGCACTAAGAAGTAGGTGTAAATGGAATAAGTAGGTGCTAGACGCCTAAATAATGATAGTGCTAACAGAGAAGATTCTCATTTCCAGAGGCAACTTGTAAAATGTTTCCAATAGATGTTGTGTATTCCCAATCTAAGAGTTGCATCAGATAAGAGAGGCCAAATAAAAATAATTTGGTAGTACAGAAAAAAAAGAAGAAAAGATTAGAAACCAAGAACATCGGAGTAAACCAAAAAGGCTTTTCCTGTAGAGAATGGACTTCCGTAACACCCTTTTGAATAATTAACACATGATGTTTTAAGCAATAATACAATCTTGTCAGAGATTATCACATGACTTTCAATCGATAAACATAAAGCCTAACTCTGTCTCAGGGTTTTACAATAGAAGGGGAGAAGAAACGACAAGCAATAACACTTTGTCATAATATGTATACTAATACTCTGCATGTGTTTTGCTTTTTTCGTTTGGGGGAGGGGAGGGTGAACAACTCTAAAAGTTTATTGCAACTACACTTAGGCAAATGTGATCCAAAGTTGCAGAGCATCTGGGGGAAAGCACATTTAGAGCTTATTTGCACAAGTTATGCTTAACTTCATGGGGTACAAAACCAAGTATTGCGGAGTATGCAATGGCAATATTACACAATTCAATTTTGACTAGTACATCCACAGGGAAAGCAGCTTTAGCAGGAGTGGAAGACACTAGATGATTTGGTATATATATAGTACAATCAATGACTAGGAGAGAGCAACCAAGAGCTAGCAGACTGATGGGATAGGCTTTTAAGGTGATTGCGATGGATGGTCAAAGTTGTATGAAATATTTAAAATAAAAGAATCTTCTATAGTTTAATACATGTCAGTTTTTCTTGACGGATATGAATTAATACTTTTGAAGGTTTTACATTTTGGATTAAATAGATCCTTTACATTTAAATTTTATAACATTACTTGATCTATTTAATATAAAATTTTTAGTATAGGGAAGGTGTCAATTTAATATAAAATTTTTAGTATAGGGAAGGTGTCAATTAGAAGCAGTGGCACTATTTACATATGTGCCCATAAAACATAATCCCATGGGAGCAAAGTGCACACTTGCTCCCTTGGGCAAAAAACCCAAGTAGAAGGACTTTTGATCTAAACTTTTTGGAATCACCTTAGAATCACAAGATAAATAATTTCCACAGAAACGCATTCCTACACACCTAATCTAACTGTCCAAAAAATAAACAGTCTCAATTCTCTTTTGAAATGGGATTTTATCAGGCAAATTAAGGAGAAGTTTTAACTTTTCATTTCTTTCTTAGATTGATCACCAGGATGAGTAGATAATATCGCTAAACTATGGCATCCAAAAAATACTGCAGGGTATTGTCCAATGAAAAAATCACATTATATTCAAATATAGAGAGATTGTATTTTTTTTAAAGTTATAGCACATACGTTTACATCGCCAACTATATAATTGTACTTGTATACATGTGCGAATGTGGCCATGTTT